CCCCGCCTCGGTTGCACGTCACCGACACCAACAGACAAGAGGGGCTTGCAAGCACCGTTGATATTTTAGGTGCATCGCGAACACGCAGATCCAGGGGAAGACGACGTGGCCGTGCCGCAGGCGGAATCCTAATCATGGGTGCCGTGCTGCAGCCCTGAAGGCAACATGAAGCGCAAGAGCGAGAGGAGGCGAGCGGAGTCGAGGAGAAAGAAGTGCTGCGCAGCCCAGCGCGGCTCAGAGGCGGAGCCAATCTCGGATATTTACATTGAGATTTCAGGTAAGGGTGGTCGCACTATGAACCCGGTCAACTTTAAACCGAGTTGTCACATGACTGCGGTCAGGGCAGCCTCCATTCGCAAAATTGAAGTCAAGCCAGCTGCCACAACGATTGTTAATACTCTGCATTACGGTAATCGACCGCCAGCGAGCGGCGTTTGTCACCTTCAAAATAAAAGCTCTCCTACTCGTGTATGCATGTCAGTGGTTTGGATTTAAAATAATGTTACAAAGAATCTCTTAGCGCCCAGGCAACGATCATTACATTAAAGAAGTGCACTTTATTTTTTTATTGCTGTATGAATTTCAGGCAAATAACTTGCCTTAGTAATGGATTGACACCTCCAATATGGCGGATACGTTGATGGATGCAACAACGAGCCAACTCGCTTAAGGCTGGGTCTGTGTAATTTTATTTTTTATCATTATTTTTTTACTAAAAGTTGGAAGACTGGGTCGTCCGAATGACTGTGATTGGGCTCAAAGACAATGCAACCGCCTTGTGAGCGTTCCCGCAGCCAATTGCGTGTCAGACCAGGAGAACTTTAAATAAAATGGGAGGGATTGATGGCATCTTCCTCGAATGGCATCAAGCGTTGAATCTCTGTCGGCCAATGGCGTTTCGCCGTGACTTAAGGGCGGAGCCATAAGCCAGCTCATGTTTAGCATAGTGCGCACTTTCTTCACTTGAAACTCACTCATGGTGCTCATCCACAAGATACTTCAACGTCACCGTTGGACTTTTAACACTTTTACCACAACGCAGGAACTTTGTTGCACGATTGTTCTCTAGTTCTGATTTTACACGTGAGTTTTCCACATGAGTATGTGCACGTTCTTGTGAGGGAAAATCAGGTTGGCCATGTTCAAAACAGCTCAGGTCAACATGACCGCCGCGGACGATGTGCCGTCTCAATGCGTTGAGCTCCTCAAGGGTAAGATCGCAATGGGAGAAAAAAAGGAAATCTAACTTAATCGGAGCCTGCAGAGTTGACAGCATGCACGGCAAAACAAGTAACTCAATTCTTCATTTACGTTTTGTAGATCAATTGTATTTCGCCATCCTTCAACAAAAGATCAAAAGTACGACAGAGCGGCACTGCTTCTGCATAGACGAAGAGCTGGCATATGAGAAGTAAGTCAACAGTCTCATCCTATTGGACTTTTACCTCTGCTTTACATTGTGGATGCACTTCAGCAGTACTAAAGGTCATTTTAAATGTGGGCGGATCCTACTGAAAAGCTTGTTCTTTTTTTTTTTTTTTTTTTTTTTTTTTTTTTAACATGCATTACAGCAGACGTGGATTTTTGTTCACACTGATTTGGCGATCAAGTTCCAGACAATCTATGGGTGATTTTTCTTCTATGTGTGTGCAATAGTCGTCCTTTGCATATTAGTAGTTCACCATTCACAACTTAATGCCCCCTCCCCAATTGGAATCTACTCCTAGCTATTTGTTGAAAAAGACTCCAAAGTGTAGTTTTTGTGCTCCCCTGAAATGCTGTCAGATGTCACGAAAGCCCGGGAATTAGTGTCAAGGAAGTGTGGTGAAGTGATACAGCTCGACAAAGACAAAAACGTGGTGTTGGGGAGGAGCCAATCTCAGCCTTGGTGGTTAATGGAAGTTAAAGCGAATCCTCATTTTATAAGCTACAACATTTTAAAGGGTAATAATAAAAAATAAGTTACTTGCAGCACAGATACGGACTACCCCTAAATGGTGGCACTTTGCCTCTAAATTTTGAGGCAGTGCATGTAAAATGTTCGTCTACTTATGCATGCGCACCTAGTAAATTTGCAGATTAAAAAAAAATATATTATTCTTGAATCATTGTTGCTGCTGTCAAATTCTTCCACATGTCCACCTATTTTTCAGTAATTTATGTTATGTTTATTACGGACATGCAAATGATGTACACCACATACATCAACAAGTGGGAAAAGAAATATCGTCAATATAGTAAAAATTAGTTGCTTTATGTTGTGCGCACCTACATTTTCTCCTTGCACCCTTAAAATGTTAGGTTAGGGGCCACAATGCTCCTAGGGGGACGAGGGGGTTCGTTCCAAGTTCTAAACTTGCTGTTTTTCCCCATTCACAGCAGGGCAAGTCCCCTATTCCTTATTCATGAGGATTACAGTACTTGAAACTTAAAAGCTTTATACATCGGACCTATGTCTAAAATGTGATTAGCCACAGTTAATTCATGATTTAACAAGGGGGCGGAAAGTATTTTTTCCACACAAGGTCATTTAGCTTTCAATAATTTATTTGCTTTCGTAATCCAATCAAAATCATCTTTTATATCTACCGAAATGATCTTTGTCTCATCTTTATATTAGTATGATGTTTTTGAACATTTAAGTGGGAGAAACTAGGCAAAAAAAAAAAAATCCGAGAAATTTTTAGAAGAGGTCTTTACCCTGGATGATCTTTCAGAGAAACCATAATTGGGCCTTTGACATTTTTAATCAAAAAGGGAGGAGGACCGCGCAAATTGAGCAGAATTATCTGCATATGTGCATCAGTGATGGAAAAGTACCTAAGTGTGTCACGCAAGCTTTTATCGAAAAGATCGCAGTCATTCTCTTGCTTTTAAATCTCTTGCAGTTTCTACGCAGACTTTGGCCCCCTCAACCTGGCCATGTTTTATCGCTTCTCTTGCAAGCTGACAAAGAAGCTCAAGGTAATTAGGACACTCTCAGGTCCAACACCCCCCCCCCCCCCATAGCAAATAATGGATCCGATCCCACGTCAAACTTCATATACGGTAGAATCTTCAAACTTGTTTTCTATTAGTATCAAAACGATGAAGTTCTGCTAATTATTAACATAACCCATTTCATTGTTTCAAGTATTGTGAGTGTAAATTGCTGTTTGTAGACAAATATCCTGCGATTGCCTAAAATGAGAATGACTTGACATTCCACTGTCTGCTATCGCGTTGTATTCTGTCTGTGAAGTATGTAGAGGTTGTTTTTACTGTGAAATAATTGCACTTTATCACCTACCGCATCTTTTGCTTTACTCTCACGTATCCTCCGCGACATTAAAAACACGCCACAGCTCAACATCCTTTCATTCAGTTCCATTTGCTCCACATCTGTTCAAACAAAGCGGCAACACCCAGCAGGGCTTATATGTCATGTTAATTGTACAATTACAATGTCCCCGTCAGGTAAACAGATGGCTTCATATGTCACTTCATGTCTCTGCACAGTCCATTACACTTTCGAGGAAGAAGATTGTATTTTACACCTGCGGTGACCAGAAGAAACAAGCCAACGCTGCCTACCTGATTGGCTCATATGCAGTGAGTAGAAACTGCATATATCCCTTGTATAAAACTGCTCTACAATTTCATATATATGTGTGTGTGTGCGTGTGTGCACGTGTGTGTGTGCAGGTAATGTACCTGAACATGATGCCAGAGGAGGCCTACAGTCTGCTGGTGGCAAAGAACCGCACGTACATTCCATTCAGGTAAATTCGGTCAATTAAATTTGTTCTGTATCTAGCCTATTATTAGTGACTACAACAGTTGATTATAAAACGTCCTGCGATATTTGGTGCTTTAATTTAGCAATTGGCGGCACAGTGATTGAGTGGTTAGCACGTTCGCCTCACAGTGCCAAATTGCATGGTTCGATTCCGACTCTGGCCTCGCTGTGTGAGTGTTTGTACGTTCTCCCCGTGCCTGTATTCCGGTTTCCTCCCACATTCCAAAAACAGGGATGGCAGGTTAATGGAACACCCTAAATTGTCAGTGGGTGTGATTGTGAGCGCAGTTTTTTTTTTTTTTTTTTGGGCCTCGGTGTGCCCTGCGATTGGCTGGCAACCAGTTCCCGTTCCCTCCATCAATTTTCTGATCAGCTTATCCTCACAAGGGTCCTGGGGCATGCTGGAGCCTATACCAGCTGTCTTTGGGCAGTAGGTAGGGGAAACCAAGACAAACAACCATTTGCGCTCACAATCACACCTAGCGTCAATTTAGAGTCTTCCACTAACCACCCACATGTTTTTGGAATGTGGAAGGAAACTGGAGTATCCGGAGAAAATCCACGCAGTCATGGGGAGAACATGCAAACTGATTATTATAAACTTGATTATTTCACATTTAAACTATTTCACAGAACTGTTTTAGAGCGATTAGGCGTTTGTGACCCGTGGGAATACAGTACAGTTTGGCGTAAATATGAGAGAAATGAAACGGGTTTTATTTCCAAATGTCAAAAAGTTGTCGAAGTTGTAATCCATGCTTCAAAATTCTTTCTCAGAGATGCCTCGTTTGGAACCTGCATGTACAATCTGAGCATCCTGGACTGCCTCTGTGCTGTTCACAAGGTAAGTCTCTTCCCCAACCATAATTGTCGAGTTATGTGCCTCCCCCTGATGAAATTCTCCTCCTACCAGGCCCTGCATTACGGCTGGCTTGACTTCTCCGACTTTGACGTGGAGGAATACGAGCACTACGAGAGGGCAGAAAATGGAGATTTGAACTGGATCATTCCGGGAAAGTTTCTCGCCTTTAGCGGGCCTCATCCCAAAAGCAAAATCGAGAACGGCAAGTTTAGTCCAGCATGTGACGTTTCTCAAAACAGCGTTAAATATACTACCTCGCATTCATGCCTCTTGTTTCCAACTTCAGGCTACCCTCTGCATGCACCCGAGGCCTACATTCCTTACTTTAGGAAGCACAACATCACCAGTGTCATCCGGCTCAACAAAAAGATGTATGACGCCAGGCGCTTCACCGACTCGGGCTTTGAACATCATGACCTATTTTTTGTGGACGGGAGCACGCCCAATGACGCCATTGTCCGAAAGTTCCTCAATATTTGTGAGAACGCAGAAGGAGCCATTGCCGTCCACTGCAAAGGTATAACACCGACCGAGATTGAATCAGCAACGGGGACCGGACTAAGTTCTCTCCGCAACTTTATTTCAGCTGGTCTGGGGCGAACCGGCACTCTGATTGGCTGTTACATGATGAAGCATTACTGCATGACTGCGGCGGAGGTCATCGCTTGGATTCGGATCTGCCGTCCGGGGTCCATCATCGGGCCTCAGCAGAACTTTGTTGAAGAGTAGGTGCATAAGTTAAATGAAATCAAATGCCTTGCATTAATTTTTTTGCCAGGAAAAAAAAAAAAAAACGTCTGCACATAAATAAACATCAAACTAGATGATAATCAATCGCGCCTCTGCTGGGTGCAGCCAAGTTCTGCACTCTGTTCTCATCTTTAATCGATAAATGTGGTGTGATGTTTCCTTTCAGGAAGCAGAACAGTCTGTGGGCAGAGGGTGATGTCTTCCGGGAGAAGATGCTAAACGAAGAGAAGAATGGTAAACTGGCCGTGACCAGAATACTCTCTGGAGTTGATGACATAACCATTAACGGCAGCAACAAGATCAGGACATCCAAGAAAGGAGTGACTGAAATGGTACGTTTTTGTAAAATAATACCCGAATGAATATGCCGCTATTTGTAATATTTGTTTCTGTGCTTTTATTGATTTATTTTTGCCGGCAAATTCACAGTATAATGACGACGAGGAGCGGAACGGCTTGACACAGGGTGACAAACTGCGAGCCCTGAAGAGCAAGAGGCAAGTCAGATCCTCAAGCTCATTATCGTAAGTACTAAGATAGACCTCCCCTCTCGAGTACCGCCTCAATCAACCGAAATGTGATTATTTCCCCACTCAAAAATGTGATTTTCCACCCTGGACGAGAGCAATGTTTTTGTCACGTTTGATCATTGAATTGGACGAGCACCCGAAGACCATATTTATTCGATTTGGGGCATGCTGTCTTATAAATACTGCTGTGAAGCGATTAGCTAGGTGACCCGGTAGTATTCTTGCAATCGACACAATCTGTTTCTTTGCAATAAATAGTATTGAGGTCTAGGAGGAACGTACGCCACGCTATAATCTATTTGTCGTGATTGATTTTATGTCAGGAAAGAGTAGAGTCACGTATGAAGAGTGATTTGGGAAGGCATTTTGTGTTGTTCCCTCAGGCAAGCACGGCTTTGTGGAAAGTAGGAGGCCAAATGAATCTGGAGCTCTTGGGATATTTGCAGTCAATAGGAAGCTGGCGAATGGAACACGTTTGTGTCGGGCGTTGATCTCGTGATCGTCTTTACAACGATACATTGATTTGAGATTACAGCCGTGTGCATTGCTTGCCAACCAGTCACCGAAAGTCAGCTGAGACAGGCTCCAGCTCACCCACCATCCTCATGAAGACAAACATAGAAAATCGATGGATGTATTGCTATTACATTTGAAGTAATCATGCGTGTTGAGGCATCATTACATTTCTTCAAATATTCCTCCGCGAGCGCCATCGGCAGAAAATAATTGTCACTATTGCTGCATCATAGCAATCCCCACATAGTCAACACTCAGTGGCTGTCCCGTGAGATGTCAGAGCACTGTATTTTCCGCACTCTAAGGTGCTTCGGAGCATAAGGCGCACCTTCAATGAATGGCCTATTTTAAAACAGTTTTCACATGTAAGGCGCATAGAATAGAAGCTACAATAGTGGCTGCGATTGCGTTATGCATCCACCAGATGGAGCTATGCTAAAGGGAATGGAATACAGCTTTATATATTTATATAGCTGCTGCAGCTGTAACAAAGCGCCTTACAGAACATTTAAAATACTACATCCAAGAAATCTGAATATTGACCCATATATAAGGTGCATCGGATTATAAGGCGCACTGTCAGCTTTTGAGAAATTTGAATGCTTTTAGGTGTACCGTACTCTCCTCTACTTCCATAGCGGCATTCCTATCTTTGTAAGAGTCAACTGTGTTACTAGTAAAATGATGAAACCTTGAACATGAAGCCCTTTGTGTGGCTTAATTGCATTAAGTTCCGTTTACAGTTCGACCATGGCCCATTATTGTCAAACTTCAGGTTATATGACTGGCAGGGTATGTGAAGTTCCATTGCTCAATGCAAGTAGAATAACATGGAAAGAAATCGCACTGTGTTACTTAGAATACACACAGATGCACGCAACAGAATAGTCTCCAACCATTCAAAATTTGGTCAGAACGAAACAAAATGCCCTGTGATTGACACTAGCATCTCCTCGACCCAGCATGGAAAGGCAAAGACCGGATGATGAATTGGACTTTTCGTTGTATATGAACTAATGGCAGGATCTCATTTTGGCCATCATTACCTGTAAATCCGGCGTGGTTGACTGGCTCCTGCCAATCTTCCCATGTGGCTCTGTTGTCCCTGTGCCAGACAGGTGGTAATGCTCTGCTGCGGCCTCACAGGCGCGCTCTGGCCAATGTCTTGCCTGTCGTTTAAAAGATAGCTGAGGGAGAGTGGTGTTGTGGACAGGAATGAAATGGATGTGAGGTTTGAAGGAGGTAAGAGCATGTCACTTCCTATTTTTAAAAGCTACAGTCGATACTTGTTCCTGTTGAAATGGATGGCTGATTAATTTTTTTTTCCCCTCCTTTGCCGCGACACGGATATGCAATAAGTACAGTACTTGCACTACAATTACTCTTGCCTCTCATAGACTGGCTGTTCTGCTGTATTTTGCTAACAGCTGTGCATTGGTCTGCAGCATAACAGACTTCAATGTCCAGTGCTTGGATTCCATTGATTAATGCTCCTGGTGAAGATTACCTATTAGTAAACGGAGCCCCCCCCCCCCTCTTTTAGAAAAGGCTTGTTCAATCATCTCAAGTGTTTACATGAGATTTCCCCTGATCCTCACTTGACCATAGTGGATTCTAAATGCCCTTATCTCTGAAGGAGTATTAAAGCCGCATTGAAACTATGGCTGTGTTAACATTGTTGGTGAATTTTGGTTTATTTTTTTGCCCATATGTGACATGTATCACGTTTTTTTGGGAGGGGGCCGGGGGGGGTCATGCACTGTACAATTCGGTTTGCTTTCAAATCCGACTAATGCCTCTCTATATTTGGAAATAAGTGGAATGTGGATCCAATGCGATTGCAGCTTGGATGCTCGGATTTGATTTTTGACACTGCCGTGCAGTGTCAATGTAGCAAATGAGAATAAAGCCAAATAAATCCTCAAAATGACCTCCTATTCAGATATCATCTATTTGGACCATTGTATGTCATTGACATAGCTGGATTAACATGGCTGCATCCAACCAAAATGGCTGACTTCCTGTTCAGTTTTGTGCATGGGTCTTTGAGACTGTCATGTGTTGAGAATTTTTACAATTGGTCAGTTATCAGGCTTTTTGGCCCCCCAAAAGTCTGTATTTTGGTCATTTTGAAATTCAAAGAGGGCCGTCGCAACACCTGCTGCTTTGGCCCCAAATATTATAAAATTGCACTCTTTTGCACGGAAAGAAGTTATAAATATAAGGGGGGGGGGTAAACAAGGCAATTTTTGGTGCGGTAATTTGTAATATCACAGCTTGACACATATCGTTTCCGTGAGGCCCTAATACTCCTTTTGTACATCTGAGCGCAAGACGGTCAGTGTTGTGCTGGGATCAAATGACCTTCTGCCAAGGGAACATTGAGGCAGGGTGGAAATGTCCTTGCGCTTTCGGCCGTGTGGTTTATCGTTGTTGCGAAACACCCATCTAATCCTCAGCTGAGCCCCCACCGTCTGGCTTCACTGTTTAACACTGAAGAGCGTGTCATATTTCACCGCAAACAATGTAAAAGCACCTTTTCCGCCTCCCTCCACTCACCTTCCATGCATGGCAACGGGCACGACATCCTCGGACATGCACGCCTCATAGATGCCTTCTATCTATCTCTCTGTGTCTAATGGTCACTAAATATTCGGCAGAGTTCACACGGCTTAATTGCCTGTTTTGTTTTTGTTTGTTTTATTACAACTGAGACTGGATCAGTACAAGTGTAACTTTGGAGCTTGTTTACTCTTGATATTTGCATTCACCAGACATTTCATTTCAGTGTACTGAACTGATATATTTCTGATACGTCATTTCACTAGCATGTCCAGGTGTACCTAACGTTGTGGTCTGTGAGTGTAAACAGTACATATTCACTTCGTGGGATACTTTTCCATTTGCTGTATTTTATTAGTACGCAAATTAGATTTTTGTCATCCTAAAATAGATGCTACAGAAGGTCAAATCTGTACATTTTCCAATGTGATTGACTCAATGTCTGTGTTTTTGTTATTTTTATAATCATACTGTTGCACCTTTCAATAAACCAGCACATATTTAATTAAATCACCATATATCATTTGTCCATTTGGACGGACGCTGGTGAAGCTAACTTTCCAAAAAAAAAAAGAAAAGAAAAACTATCTTTGCAGAAGTGTCTTAGTTTTGATGATTATGCTGTTAAGCAATAATATCTCAAGACAATTGCAATTGTTTTATTGATCCAGTCCCACTGTAAAAGTAGAGCATCTTAGACTGTATGTCCCGCCCAGTCGTCTCTTGTCTCTCCTTCCTTTTTTTTTTTTTTTAATACACACTATACCCTCCTTTTTTTTTTTTGTTTTGTTTGCTCTTGATGAATTTGTCCTCCTTCTAGATGGCTGGTAGCCATGCTGCTCTCCTCCCTGTGTAGCCTTGCCCTGTGGTGGATTGTGTATGGCTTCCCTTCTTCCATCAAGCATTTCTGTATAGACGGGTTAGGATTTCTATGAGTTCCACCGGCCGGTGAACCCCCTCAAAAAATGTGTGCTGCCCCCCCTCCCTTTCTGGATCAATCACTGAGAATGCTGTAAGTGAGCCCCCCTCTTTAATTCCCAAGCCAGATCAGACATACAATTATAGGAAAAATGATTAGATCACCTTATTTTCTTCAATTTCTTGTTCCTTTTTTTATGCCCGGTACCACTGAAGCTGTATCTTCTGACTGACTTAAAAGAAAACTCGGAATGCCTCAACGCAGTTTTTGCCAGTGCAATGTCATAGCTATTGATGTAAGAAGTGAAGTGATTTGGGTTATCAAAATAATGGAAAATGGCGAGAAATACGCTCTCAAAACAAAATCTTATGAGCTATTTTATCATTATTTGTCCATACAAATGCTTTCATTGAATACCGAAAGCCTCCGGCCCGTTTTCACTGCAGAGATTTATTTATTTTAAATAGTTCCAACCATTACTTTGGAAACATCACTCCTGTCTTTCTGTTGATTCAAGATGCCTGTTCTTAAGTGATTAATTCACTGAGACATTTCAGCCTTGTATTGCAGGGTTGATGAGAAACGGCGTTAACTACTGCCGTGTAGAGGAAAGGGTTGTCCATCCAGAATGTGCATTTACCCTACTAGTATTTTGCTTTGCTAATCTCACCTGTCTGTATTGAGTGCAAAATTAGTCTGAAATCAATGTGCCATAGCCTCGGCCACCTCGACACTCACGCCAATCGTATGTTTTCACAGGCAGGAGGAGAATAAGATTCACACCAGGTCAGCATCGCAGTCTCTCAAGTAAGCTTTGCTCTGTATTTATATCCCAATTATGCATCCACTGATAATTCCACTTAAAACATGCTAGCAATGACCTATTTCCCCTGCAGCAGGGCCGTCCTTCAGGCCAGCGTACAGAGCTGTAAGACGGGCATCAACTCGATGGCTCTGTCAGACCCCTCGGACACCAGAAAGAGGACCCGAACCTCACTGCCCGCCAGTGGAGTAGCATGCAGGTAGGAGGCCAGTGTGACGCTTCGATGGTAGTACTAGAAAGTCACATAACTACCAATTAGTACAGTTTGGTTCAGTATGGTTCGCAAATTATGCCCAAACCCCCCCCCCCCCAATTTATGACTCTGTCCCTTTCCTACAGCGGCAACGTAACTCAAATTTACACACAAATTGGAACACACTGTGGTCACCTTTTACTTACACTAATGCAGTACGAAAGTCATGATGGTGAAAGTCTGTATGAAAAACACTCTAAGATCAAAAGTATGAAGCGATGTCACGGAAAAAATCAAATAGTAGAGCAAAAAAATAAGTGTGCATTCTTGTGCTACGTGACCACGTGATCGAAGGCCAAGATGGAAACCGGTGAATTGCACACGGTCCATAACCTCAGAACAGCATGACAAAGCAAAGTCATAAGCAAAAACTCCCTTCGCCCTTCATCGGAAAATAAGGAAACAAATTGTTTTCCATACCAAACTGTACCATCAGGAATGTGGAATGTGTCAGTGCCTAATACGTCATGAACAAGGCAACCCAGAGGCTATAGCCACTCATGAAACCCAACTCAAAGGCATCCCCTCTCTCTGCCAGCTCCCTGGGCAACTTGCATGTAGTGGCCAGCAACAGGGAACCGGTGTGTTGTGAGCCCTGTGGCGGCCATAGCGATGCGACCAACATGTGCACTCCCGTCAACTTAAACATGGCGCACTTGCAGGCAAGCTCCGCTCAGACCCACGTGAAGATTTACTGAGACAAACAAGCACAATGCATTTCCTCTGGACAAGCTTGCTTTAACAACTAGCCAGGGCTCTAGACTGCCACCTGTTGGGGCACACGGGCATCTTGATTTCTCAGCAGTATGCCCTTTAAAAAAAAAGAAATTGCACCGGTGTGACCAGATTTTTAAGGGGTCATGGAGGAAGAGCCTCCATTTGGTTCACCGACAACACAGATTCGGCACACAAGCACAATCAGTGCCAAAAGTGAGTTTAGAGCCCTGATAGTTGTAGTTGGGTTTTTGGCAGTAGTTGGATGATTGGATTCACATTTAAGGCAGTGTCAAGTCTCCTCATTATATAATTTTTTTTTTCTTTTTTTTTACTGGGCTGCTGCCACGTACAACCCAACAGAACAGAAATGAACTTTCCTGTCAAGTATCCAAGTCTGTCTGCACTTTCTTTCAACGGCACCGCTTGCATGTCCTCCAAAGACAAGAATTGTTTGGAGTATGACTGGCTATAGCTTCCCTGGTTCCTTCTCATGCCTGTTACTGTCGCTCCTTTTTTCCGGCATCCTCTTATGTGGCATTCCGCTCACGTTTCTGCCTCTTTTCTGTTTCACACACAACAGAGCCTCCGCCGCCGCCGCCGCCTCCAGACGACGTAAAGCTCACCATGCTTTGCAATCTGAACAATTTTCTAAACTGTGGTATCTATCTCTTCGACTCACTAAGCTTTTGTTCACATCATGCTTTTCAAGTCTTTGCGGCATGAAAGAGACAAAATTCTGTTTCAATTCATGTTTTCCTCCATTGATATTGCTTCTGTTGTTCTTCACAGTCACTCCATACCTAAAGCGAGAGCTCCTCTACTACGGTGAACCCGCAGCTGTGGAAACCCCGAAGACTGACTTTTGCATATTAAGAGCATTTTACAACTAGCTGTGTATGCCAAGATTCTAAATATACATGGTATTTTCCCTTAAAGTTTATCATTTTTATATTCAACATGTGGTCCTAATCATTTTCTGATTGTTAATCCTCACTGGCAGACTGAACATTGAGATAAGAATTGTCATTTAAATGATTTTTTTTTTTCTTGTAATTAAGTAGCTAGCTCAATGTTGTGCACACTTACACTTATCTCAAAACTATTATGCACTTGTGAGAGGTTCAAATGTTGCATTTGATGACTGTAAATATTTCCTTAATTGGAAAATGTGTATATATTTTGTACTGTTTTAAATCAAAACCATACTAATGGAACAGATCCACTATGAATAGTTTTGAAGCATATACTGTATAATCACTTTTTAAGTAAAAGAATAACCATGCTTCCTCTTTATTTTTCTCATGTGCACTAATATTGGTTTTATACAACAAGCGGCCTTCAGATCTCATCTGAGCACGCATGAGAATTTTTTTTTGTGGCTACTAAACAAACTATCATTGAAATGTATGCTAGTACAAAAGCTCATGCCTACCTGTATACCTTAACGCTTGCTTGTATTGTTGAAAAAGCTTCAAGACTTAATTGACAAAATGACAGATGCAATCCACTTTGTGCCATGTTTAACTGCTCTAATGAAACATTGGTGTGTATATATATATATATATATATAGGCCAAGGTCAGTAAAGTTGCGGACAAAGCAACTAACATAGGTTTGAACATTGGTCTATTTTAAAAAGTTCCGTCAAATTTGTTTTGCTCATACTGTTTATGTAAATACAACTTCAGGTCAGAAACACACCACCCACTTATATACTGTACAAGTACATTGACAACAACAAAAAAAAACTCAACAAGTAATATTTGCAAAATTCTTTATGAGCTCAGTGCCATGGGTGAATGGTAACAGAAACCCAGAGGAATAAGACACCAAATCTTGAGAACAGCAGAACCATGAAAACGTTTTTTTTTTTTTTTTTTTTATATCTGGTCAGCGTTTTAAAGTGCCCCCACACGGCTACATGAAGCGTGAACTTGGTCATCTGCCTGCTGATAATGCTGGGAAGTCTTCTGGGTTGTCAGGGTCAGGAGCCACATCACCCACCTGTGAGCAAGCAGCACGGTTATTAGTCGCCGTTTGACAAAAGGCAAACTGCTTGTTTATACGAAGCGTGACATGAATGCTGACCTTCTCTGGTGTGGGTTTGGCTCTCTCCGGGAGGCTGGACAGACCACCACGAGCGCCCCTGCCTCTACCGCCTCGAGAGGGGCGTCCCAGACTGCCAAAGTTGATGTCCAGAAGGGAGGTGATGTCATTCACAGACCGGCGGAGGAAATTACCTTCGTCCTCCATTTCCTCCGCATGCTCCTTGAGATGCTGAAGATCGACCAAATTAAACGCCCACCCGACACTGTTTGATTCCTGGCTTTTTGCCTGCTCTGTATTCCGGTCCGAAATAATTCACAATGGCTGTAGTAGACCAAAAGGTTTTAGGCATCGTTTGAGCAGCAGACATTATATGGAGTAAATACCATGGATGTGCTTTTTTTCCCCCTTTCGCTCACTCTTCAGAGTTGGAGAATTATTTAGTTGATCTGATCCATCAAGCGTAGGTGTGCATGATGAGACAACTGTAACCATTTCGACACCGAGAGATGGGATGGGATATTTTAATGTATTTTGTCTAGTTGAGTAGCGCACACTACTTTGTGGGATTGTTTGGCCAATGTAGTCGGAACGTTTGTATGCTCACCTCCACACGTTTCGACTGGTGGATGACTTTGGCCTTTGATGGAATTGTGTTGTCTGCTTTACGGATATTGAACTCTGCCTTCGGACGACTGACCTCCTGCAAGGCCTTCCATTCGTCGAGAGTCATCTCCATAGCAACCTGAACCAACATTTCTCCATCCTCCTCAGGCATTGCACTAGTTAAAAGAAAAAAAAAAAAGTTTACAGCAATTTTCATAGAGGCGGAAAAATGGTTAACAATAAAACATGATGATTAATTAAAAAAAAAAAAAGGCATCAATGTTTTTGTCTTTGTTTGGTCAGGACCATTGTATTCGCATGTGGTACTCACATGTTCTGGTTCTCTTCCACTGGTGCTTGAGGCTCCTCAGAATGTAGCTGAGCATCAGGCGCCGCATCCATTAACTCGCTTCAAAAACAAAAACAATCCTCGTAAACTTAAATTTGACATGACAACGTGGTGGACAGAGATGCACACCTTGCCGGTTCAGCCACACAACCCCAGTTCCAGGGACCTCGGCCGCCCCTCTTCTCATCAGGTGAGAGACCGCTACGGTGAGTGGCAACAATGGCAGAGCGTTAAAAAAAAAACTCCCGAAGTGTGTAGATTTAAAAAAAAAAAAAAAGGACTTACGTTCCATTGTGTCGGTCGTATTCTCTTTTGCCCCTCAGGACAAAATGATCAAAGTTTCTTGTGTACCCTCCTCTTCCTTCTCTCCCTCCCCCTCGGCTCCGGGTGTCAGTATCTTGATCGTTTGAAGGCCTTTGACAAAATTAGGTCTTGTTGCTTCACAATAGCTCAGCGATTAAAGTAGAGTTCAAGTGTATTCAAGTTCAATACATTTGTATTCAATATTCAAGAACCATTTTTAATTTAGGTAAAATTCTTAACTTGTGCAGGATACATTTTAATTGAATCATATATTCAAGCAGAGTGTTCATGTTCAAAACGGTGTCAAGGTTGCGCACAGTTGCTGAATGATTCATGAACCTAAAAATATGGAAAACATACTTGGGGAGAGAGAATTCCTGTGGGTACACGGCGGGGTTGGCCCTACGCTCCCCATAGACAGCCAACTTTGAGCTTCTTTTTGTCTCTGCTCTGTCATCACCTTTGGCACGGGCTGGTTGCTTGCAAACTAGAAAGAGAAAGAGGTCCATTACTACAGACCGTAAAAGTAGCTTCCACTCACTAGTCGCCTTCCATCTCCTAATGTCTCTTCTTGTTAAATGTGACAAATCGTAAAAAGGCCTCGAACAACAAATTTGTCTCGCTCACCATTAGTATGTATGCAATTTTCACAGTGAGATGTAGCACGAACATGGTCAAACGGTAATGAAAACCCTCCAAAAAAAAAAAAAAAAAAAGCATGGTTTAAAAAATTAACGGGACACATCAATTTTGAGGTTGAATCACCCACTTTGGACCAGTTAACTCCTTTTAGTTTTCTGTTACGGATGGGTAGTATAACCAATAGCAAATAACAGGATAAGTTTAGGCTTATTGATATCCTGCCAAAAAGTGTTGAAAGCTATGCAACATCATTTTGAGGTATTTGGGGACATACAGTTTCATCAAATTTGTGCAGTAGGGAAGAATATTGTACACTACGGTACAAGTTGTGTTGCCCAATCTTGAATGGGGGGTAAATGGAGCTAAGCCGTCGTTAAGCTAGCCGTCCGTTGCCAACAATGGTGTGGGAATGCCCGCAGGGCTGCACTGCAAAGATGGCTTAACGGCACCTTTAAATGTTCCCCATCCTTATTTCAACTCAAAATGCTTCTCTTTGCTCTTGTTACAGCCCCACACGTCTTCGCACAGGCAGTCACAGGCCATTCCATTGTAAGAATGGACAAAGTTGCTGACATTTTTGACTGCTTTTTGAAACCCTGAAAGATGTCATAGTTTGCATAATTCTTAGCATGCTGACCAGAGTTTCACACCATATTGTTCCTTCATTCCAACTCTTTCCAGTGACATTGGTCTTGCTGGGGGAAAAAAAAGATGTTGATTTTGTTGTCACGTCCCTACTTAATGGTTTCGTTTTAGCATGTTTCATAAAGGTTTGAACAGCTCATGGAGGGCCTTGTTTGGATTGTCAAAACAACGTTGGCCTTCAAAACCGTGCCCAGTATTCACCAGCAGCAGCTGACAAAGCAAGTTTCCAGTCTAGAAATGAGTTTGCTTGGTGCGGTAAAATATCATGGACGTGGCATTGTTTGTCGTGTACCTGCATCGGGTTCTGGAAGCGCTATTTTCATAGTGGGCATACGTCTGTCCCTCTGGGATTCCTTCTGGCCAGGTTTCTTCTGCTTGGCCTTTTTTTCGTCCTCCTCCTTCTTCTTCTTCCACGTTCTCTCCTTCTCCCTCTCCACCTCGCTTAGTAAGTCCAACGGGTCCCTGTCGTCGTCGGGAACATTCCCGAACCGCTTGACCACAACGCAGCCATAGGCGTCCGGCAGCATCTTACTATGGAGGGGAATAGAGGGAGGAAAAAAAAATAAAAATTAAAAAAAGCAGTCATAATTCATGTCGTAAAACCCTTGCTATTGTTTATATTTAAAAACAAACAACTTCACAAACCCCGTTTTCCTCTTTCACTGGTTACAACAGGACACCAGCCGGCGTTCAAGTCTCCATTGAGCATCGAATAATCGCGCGACAAGGTCCGTCCACTTTTATAAATGTTTTGCACGTGCGTTTGAAAACACAGCCACGCCCCCTCATGAACACGCGTCAGGTTGGTACGCGATGACGTCACATGTCAAAGGCGGTTCTGATGCTGCATTCGAGGAATGTGCGAAGTGGGAAAAATGTCGAGGGTTTGACTTCACACAAATGATGTTGTGACTCAAAAAGATGTTTTGTGTTTGTTAATCAAAGAAAACAAACAAAAGAATGAAGCTCAATTACTACTTCTTTCTGCCCTAAAGTGTACTCTTTTGTATTATGTTATGT